ACATAAAACCCACAGGAGGTTCAGGTGTTTCTTCTGCTATGGGGTCCATTCACCAAGGCTACACAGCATAACAGCAAAATAAAATTACTGTGTGAATGCGTGATTTAAATTTTTCTTTCAAACTTTTCACTAAAAAATTGAATAGAAACAGATTATATATTAAATATAATATAAATTAACATATATTCACTTTCTCAGTAGAAGTGAATATATGTTAATTTATACCACCGTATATATATTTTCTACTAGCAAATTGGCCCGACACTGCGCAGTGTTGCCTGGAGAAAACGGGGGCGTTGCTCAATTACTTTCTAGTAGGTATCTAGTAGGTCTCATGCTCCCCCGTCTGTCTGTCTGTCTGTCTCTCTGTCTGTATTTCTCTCACACTCTCTCTCTCTCTCTCCAGATGTAGGTATAGGTTTGGCGAGTGCATTGTATGTTCAATATGCTTTAGTTACAGGCAGTGAGTGTTACATGCATTTTAGGCAGCCCGCGCCTGTAGGTAGGACACATCTGTGTATATGGAAACAAAAGCGATAATAAAGTAACGAACTACTGAGCCCGCACTATACGTAGCGCATGAGATAAGAAGGTCGGCCGGAAATCAATAATCACACCAGGACCAGTAGTAGCACCAGGACCAGTAGTAGCAGGTGCCTTGCTGTATTTAACCACATCACAACGGGGTTATGGCAAATACAAGATTGAATATGTAGCTGTTACTGACTGTGCGTGTGACGCCATAAAATTTATTGCGCAAATTAGCTGGAATACTCGGAGATAAAGTAGGAAAGACTTCATGTGGGTGCTCGCCACTGGTCATATAGTCTTAAATGTTATTCTAGAATGTCCGCCACCCTTGGCCACAGAGAAAAAAATAAAAATAAATTTTTTTTTCGGGGGCTACTTTTCAAGCTCGCGTGCATGAAAATAGCACTTTAAAATTTGGTTTGCATTGAACTCTATGCAAGTTTACGGGGGCTCTTTTGGGCATTTCCGGGGCTCCTTTTGGCATTTCGGGAGCTAAATTGCCCCGAGCCCCTCACCTTCCCTCAACTCCCAGCCAATCTCCTCCTTTACTCTGACCACCTCCCCCTCCCCTCCACTCCACTCATTGGCTATGCCACCAGTATCCACTCCAGCCACTACCCCTGGCTACTCTTTCTTCTGCTCAACTCCTCCAACCTTACCACCTCGATCCTTCTTCACTCCCCTGCTACTCTCCTGCCACCCATCATTCTGTTCATCTTTGAAAATGTGAATGAACAGAAGCATATAAAGGAATTTGGAAAACCACAAATGCATACTGCGCATCACTAAGTTTTGGTGTAGAATAAAAAGTGAATGAGTAAGTGCATGACCACTTAGCAGAGAGAAAGGGCTGCCATTAAATTTTGGTAATACTGCCAATAGTGTTGTTTGGGTGCAAATTACCTCAGCTAGCCTAAAGTGACTTCTGACATCCAACATAGCCTACTTTCTAACCAGAGATAATGCACGTCCATGCAAAATATCAGGTCTCTAGATCTAACAATTTCAACACACCCACACATACACCTGTACCTGCGCTTGTGCACACATGCACACGCGCAGACGAAGTTTACTTTATTTATGTATGTATATTAATAACTAGCTGCGGGTACCCGCTGCGCTGGGTAAAATCGTGCTACTAATTCATACTACTATACTAATAATGGGAC